CAAAGACAGAAATCTGGGAGACGACAAGCTTTCGACGACTTTCGGTATGCATACCACAAGTCTTGGGTGCAGATATATCCACCTTAGAGTCCTTACCATTAGTCTCAGGGAGAACCCAATTTCCAATAATCGACATGAGGAAGCAACCTGTGAAGACCTCGACTACTGATCAAGCCAGACACACTAAACGATGACTTCATGCAACGGGACTGATCTAGAATTTTCTCATTCTCTGATTCACCTTTGTAGGCATGAATCAAAACAAACTTGCCCCTCAAGAGCTCAGTAACTGCAGACACTGCTATGTCTGTTCTGCCCCTTCCGACGCAACCATCGTCGTAAACGGTCTATGCTGAATGAGCTATAACCCAAAAACATTAACAAGTTCTGAATGGACACCAGGGGCCGTAAAGTATGCCCCCGAACAGGAGAGGGACCCCTCCCTGGTAAGTATGCTCTCCCCGAAAACTCTCGGGGAAAGGCCACGCCCACCGGTTCTCTCGGGGATATCTCCCCGATTGACATGCAATCGGGGAGATATCCCATGATTGACATGCAGTCCGGGAGACATCCCCGAGAACCGGTGGTACCTTTCCCCGAGTTTTCGGGGAGAGCATACCTTACCAGGGAGGGCCCCTCCTGTTCGGGGAAGCATACCTTGCCCCAGAAATACTCAAGGGACATGCAAGCGCATGGGTTCCTTCGACAAGCTGACGTATTCGCTACTCTCACGATTTTTTCAAGCTTTCAAAACGCTCCCACGCCCGTTCAACTCTGACCACTTCTTCCAGTGTACTACTTGTATTGAGAAATACAGGCAAGCATTTTGACCTCAAAAAGGTCCGAAATGCTATCAACGACATAAATGAGAACTGACTAGAATCGCCCAATTATATGACCTTAACCTATCGTTTAGTGAATAAATGAACAAGGAAGTAGAGAGTAAGCAATAACCAAACCGCAGTTCTGGATATTCACTGAAAAGGTAGCTGGTCAGTGGACAGTGCTGGAGACAGAACTAAGCGGAATTCGCCACAGGAGAATAATACACACACACTCTTACGCGTGCACGTCACGTCATTGTCGTGGTTGAAAAAGTTGTACTAATCAAGACAAAAAGGATGACTCAGCCTACAGGGAAGCAAGACAAACGACACGTCCGAAACATTCAATAAATATCTATACGAAATTGCTTGAGAAAAATCAAAATGTGAGATAGAAAAAAAAAATTAAGAAATATGAGTCTCAGCGGTTCGAGAGGAGCACGATGATGACACTAATGGTTTACCACTCAAGTGCCGTCCTGAAGCACTGAAGTGAAGATACTGATAACATGATAACGACGGGGGCAATGCCTCACTTTGGCAAATTCATCAGGGGTTAAAGAGCATAGTTATTCCGCAGTAGCCTTTCGCCTTTGTAAGCAACCCAAGGATTTTCTCAACAAAAATATTCTGAACTGGAAGTAATAACACAGTGATGAATCACATTGGCTTTTTTCAATAAATAAAATAATATAATGGGGATATTTATTTCCACAAATAAAGCTGAACCTGACAAAAACGATCTTCTCAAGCTACATAGAATAACAGAAGTGAGAGAAAAATCAACAACAACAACAAAAAGCAACAAAAATATAACAGGCAACGTAAGCGTTATTCAACAAAAAATCGAGAGAAATCTGATACTGTTGAGCAAAGGGAGAATTATCAACAAGAACAAGTATAAAAAGGAACTTCGCATTTATAGACAAGCACCACAATCAACCTGAGATATCACACAGTGACTTCTTCTTCTTTTTCCTTTTGCGAGCTTTCTTATCACTACACACGTCCGCCTCTTCAAATGACCTGCGCTTCACAGGAGAACCGTCGGCTTCTTCGTCGTTCTTCTGTAAATTAGAAACGAATGCGCCGAATGCCCACGAATGCGATCGACTTACTCGTTTGAGCTTTTTGGGAGTCTTAAAACATGAACTGTCGGCTAACAGCCCCTGACATGAGATTTCGGCCGCACTCTGGTAACTGAAGTCCATGGAGGAAGTCTGTAAGAGTGTAAGCCCATTTAGCTACAAGAAAGGAGGCGACAAAACGTTGAGAAAACTGAAGTGCAAAACTTCTACTGGTACCTTTTCTGACTTCCTTTTTCTTTTCTTCTTTATACTTCTGATTGACAGATCAGTTGTAGAGCCGGCTGAAGACTGGCAGTTTGCCGCAGACGAGAATCGCTCTTGGTTTGAATATTTATCACCACTATCCGAGTTCACCATGGAAATCTGCAAGAGAGAATTCTAGGCTTTGACTTACAAAAAGGGCGAAACCTCATACACGAGGGATATAATGGCCATAAACAATGACCTTCTGTGATGCCCTCTTCATCTTCTTCTTTGTGCTTTTGCCTGATAACACATCAGAAGAACTAAATGGGGAGTTGCCTTGGGTCAAGCACGTCCGGTTCAGATCATTATCATCCTCAGCAGAATCGAAATCCGGCCGGAAAGTTTGCTAGAATGATTCAGAGCTACAGGAAACTTGAATAGAAAAACTTGATACTTACATTAAGAGGTTATGTCTAAAAAACGTACATCCTCTAATACTCTCCTCTTCCTCTTCTTTTTGATCTGGGTTACCACTGTAGAAGAGACCGAAGGTGACGTAAATGAGGTGGGTGACAACAATGAAATGTCATCACAATTAATCTATAATACAATGTTATGAAAAAAGCCAGAATAGAACAACCTGCAGTTCAGCAAATACCTCAAGCTCAGTATGACCTTTTTTCTATCACTGATCCTCTTATGGTT